CAGATCGTAATCGAGATTAAAATTCGATTAATTGAGCAGCCCTAGTCTGGACCACAGACAGGCCAGTGCAGTATCCTAACTCCTCTTACTGCAAGAAGCTTCAAATCCACCATGTGGCCGAGGCCTTTCTGTGTGGAGTTTGCATGATCTTCCCATGTTTGCGTGGGTTCTCTCTCTCTGGGTCCACACCCACAATCCAAAGACGTGCACTTAGTTGCATTCATTTAATTGGCAATTCTGTGTGTGTGAATGGTTGTCTGTCTGTATGTGTTGTCTCTGCGGCAGGACGGCAACCTGTCTGAGGTGTACCCAGCCTCGTGCTTTATTGTCGCTGGGCCACTGACCCTGGATTGTTTTAGCAGAAGAGGATGGATGGATGGACTACAGACAAGCCAGTTCAGCACCCAGACTCTTCTGTAAAGCTATGCTGTTTAAAAATTATACAATTCCTTCCTTGAAAAGAAGTCCTCTGGATGGGTGCATGTGTTGCTCTGAAATCTGTAAATACCTTTCAGCATTGATGGTGCCTTTCCATATGTGTAAGCTGTCTAATACACTAATACAATCTTCTCTTTTTCCAAAGATGTGATATTTAACCTGCATTTTGTGGATGAGACACAGTGATTTCTGAAAGTGCTCCCGAGGGAGGCGTGCACAGGCGTGACACAATCACGAGAGCCCAAAAGTCACAGGCATCCAATGTTGATTTTATTGGCTTTGTTTTTGCGCACAGAGATTTCTCCAGATTCCTGGAAGTTTTTGGAAAACATGCACTGCAGATGCAATGTTTTATTTTATAGAACATTATTCTGAAACAATATGTAGGCATATTTTTTTCCAGTTTGGTAAACTTCTGCCCGTTTTAACTTCTGAGAAACAAACATTATTAGTTGATCCTCCACCTGTTTAATTTTACTAGCACTTACTGTGGTAAGTATTTATTATATTTGATGTTATCTATTGTGAATGAGTGGAGGATTTTGGACACAGCAGTAGTTTTAAATTCTCAAGAACACAGAAGCTAAATCAGCAAAATATAACAAGGAAAAACAACAAACTCCCCCCGAAGAAAAGAACAGAAACCAACTTGAGAGGCAGATGTATTTATCCAGTTGCATAATCCTGATCTAGTGTAGAGTTATAGGAGAAATATTCATCACCAACCAATAATAGCAAGAGCATTATAAATGTGAGTTTCTATTTGTGGCCAGTTTATTGGCTCAGTTCAAAGCATTGTGTGACCTGATCTGACTGCAGCACTGCATGCTGGTCCTCTGAGTATAAATGAAATATGGGACTTTTCCTTGTTTCTTCTTACATGTAAGATGAGCAGCAACCCTCACTGAAGAAGTTTCTGTATGTGTTTGCAGATGTATGTGCATGATTGTGGAGAATGTGCTGCATCGTCTCATGATGTTCACCATGAGTTGATGTAAATGACCGCGGTGTGTAACGTGCAGTTTCAGCTTGTGTAGGTGCCGTACGTGTGTGAGACTAATGCTGATGTCAGTAACGTTATGCAACTGCTGTGATGTCACGGCGCTGAGCTTCTTGGCCCGCTTTCATGTCGAGATCTGTTGTTTTAATCCACGAGGGTCGGCACGGTGATACAACCTGGCTCAGAACTTGACCTTCACCAGGCAGACACACAAACTCGGGAGGTGTTTAGAACTCAGAGATGTGAACTGTAAGAAGAATTTATTTATTTTAGTGACCCCTAAACCTGTGCTGTATATTTATTCTGAGTGTTTTAATTAGTTTTAAAGATGGAAATATGTGTTTTGCTCAAGAAGCTTTGGTAACGTTCCGTCTTGAGGCATTTTTAGGCTTAATTCTGTGACTCTGTGAGAGTATGTGTGTGCGTGTCTTTTAAGTGGAAACTGTGTCTACTGGCAACCTCTTTCTTGTTTACAGATTTGAGAGCAAATGGCCTTATTAATATTCATGTTTTTTTTCTGTCTCGCTCTCTCTCTGCAGAACTCGTAACCTCTCCGGTGGTTCTCCCAGACCTCGGCACACCAAGAAGATTCACTTCATCAAAAATATGAAACAGTACGACACAAGAGGCAGCAGGTGAGCCACACCGACTCCCGCAATTCTGTACCATCAGATTTAACAATGAGCAGTAATACAAACTACTTACTTTAATACACAGAATCTGTAACACACAGGTACATACCAGGACGCTGAAGGTTCATATCTATATCAGATATTATGATGTCATTATGTTGCCTAGCAATCACCGAGCAAAAGAGCTGAAATAATCTGGTTTTAGCATATAAGCATCTATAACACCTAATAAAAGTATCCCATCATTTTAATTTAATCACAGTGGCATCTCATTTTTATCTACAAAGGTTTAATTATACAGGACATGGTATGATGCTATAAGTTCCCTAGCAACCACCTAGCAACAGGATAAAATAACCCTTTTTAGGAATATAAACATCTACTACCCCCTTTAAAATTAATAAATAAAGTTTCTCAGTGTGATCATGTTTTATCACCAGCAGCACAAACATGCTGAACACTACTGTAGCATAAATATGTATCATTCTGTTATAGCTCTGTTGTTAAATATAAGTCTTCAGAGTGCAGTTATTTTTCTTGTGAGGTCTGTATAAAGTGCTGGTGATGTTTATATCCCATTTTTGTATACATTTTATATTTGGTGTCTTTTAATTGAGCTTTTTGAATTATCAAAGCACAAATGGATGAAAAGTAAAAACAAACAATACTGAAACTCTGAATCTTTGGTCTTGAACTCTGAAAAACAACAAATCTTCAAAATGTTTTTCCCAGGTTTGGCTCCACAGTGAGTCTGAAGTTGTTCCCTTAACTATATTTTAGTTTGAAGGTAAAAAACACGTCATTCAGCTGCTTCAGCCAAGGTGTAGACTGTATTTAGAGGCATGTTGATCCCTAATGTCCCCCAGCATGTGGAACAAGGTCGGGCAGCGGGTTGAGGCTTGTGGAGGTCTCTGAAAGCTTTATGTAGAGGTGCGCTATCAGCAGAGGCTACAATGGCAAATACTCTGGCTCTTTTTCAAACAGTTCCTCCTACATTGACCGCTCAGGAATCACAATGAAAACTGTGTGGTACGTTTTGTAACGCATAACTCGAGGACTGGCTGAGGCTTTTCTGCTTCTTTCTCATTGGGAGTGTCCTTTGTGACCGTGTACAGAGGTCACAACACTGATCTCTCCGTTATTGTTACGTCTCTGTCAGAACTAAGCCCTACATACGCTGCTGACTTGCAGAAGTGTGTCGCCTTTACAGCAGGAGAGGAACCAGAGAAGCCTGGACAGTGTCATTCTGTTCTGCTTAACTCTTCTATTGTATTGTATTCGTGTCCTTCCTTGTGGAGTGTATAAATACAACTCTGGGTCAAAAGGGCCCACAGGGCTGCTCAACAGATAATAACAGACTGACTGAGGGGTAATTGTTTTAAAATAGATCCGGTAAAAAGCACCAGTGCTGTTTGTAATTCAGCTAAGTCACCATGTTGTCACAGAGAAGAGGAAATGTTAGAGCTGTCTTCCCTCAGAATGGGCTGTTGTGTCCCATGATCCTTGTTTGGGTCGTCCTGGGAGACTTTAAAGGGTTCACCTCGAGGTCACCTGTAAAAATTGCTTGTTTACTTCCTTTTAAAAAAGGTTTTCTTTGAAAAAAAGAACCAAGACATTGATTGACAGTGATGTATAGCAACAGCTCACAATAACAGGTGCTTTATTTTGTGAGGTAAAGAACTTAACCCAGTGACAAGACAACACTCCCTGGGATTGTACTTGGTGAGAGTGGGGAGAAAGACCTCCCTTTTAACAGGACGAGACCTCAGGGAGGGACAAGCCATTTCTTGCAACGAGTTGAGTGATGAGTGGAAAGTGAATAGACCAAAAGAAAGCATAAAGAAAATGGACAAAACATAAACTACTGCAGAGAGTAGACAAAATTAACCGACTGCATGGGCAGTGTGGTACTTTTGGGCATTTATCACACCGCAGGCTAGCAGCTGCACGTGTGCAGAATGTGGTGCTGCTTCAGTCGATTGTTTATATATCAGTTTACTCTGACATGCCAACTCTCATTTTGCACATCAAAGTGATGGAAAGCAAACAGATGTCATCTGCTTGTTTTCCACCTCACTTGTTTACAACTATAAGTCAGCTGAAAAGAGGGCCGCAGCAGTCAGTGGTGCTCGGCGTCATTATATCTTTGAACCAGCAGGTAACGTTTTTGTACTTTAACAGTAAAATATTAGTAATTAGTTTAAGTGACAGGTGAGCAAAGTAGGTGACCTTTTACAGTGTAGAATATCCACCAAGATCCACCCATGAATTGTAAAAGTTCTTGTTATGGTTTTTAAAATCAAATTTATGTTAACTAATTATATTTATATATATTTTTTAGCTTATTTTTTGTTTTGTTTTTGGGGGGGAATGGTGAAATGGAGAGCTCTCTGCTCTTGTTAGTTCCCAGCAAGATGAAATTTTTCTGCTGTTGCATATCATTTATTAAAAAGCATAATTGTAAGTCACATTAAACCTTCCACTACGCATACATTTCATTGATGAAGCGTAATTTGAACATAATGCTGTCTACATTTGATTTGAAACATACAAAAAATGCTAAATGTTTTGTCATTTTATTTTTTTAATCTATAAATTTCCTTTGTTTTTCTGTTGTCAGTGTAGCTACATAGATAAAGCTCTGGGTCAGCGGTTCAGTCCTCAGTGGGAACATTGTCTGTTTTCCTTGAAGGTGATTATGGAATAATGTGCCCCCAGTGTTGTGAAATGTGTTGTAATAAATGGATGGGTGCAGGGGACAGACTCTCCGGCGCAGTCACGTTTTCAGCAGCTGTGTTGCGATGTCTCTGCTGTTCCCACTGAGCTCCCTGGTGACTTCCTGCTCTTGACTTTCCCATGCATCACAGGGAACGAGCTTTGTGTGTATTTTTGTGTCTCCGGCTCACACAACCAACAACGGCAAATTCAAACTCATAATCCGTCTCGAGGGATGATCAGAAGGGAAGGAGAAGCAGCCTCGTGTCTAAATTGAACGAGTAATGATTCATGCTTTAATGACCTTTAATGTTGAATTTTCCATCACGCTGCTGCGTATTTAGCTTCCTAAAGAATTAAACTTTGAACCGCTGGGCTCCCTTTAGTCTGTTTTCATCCCCTTTAAATGATAAATCACTTATTAGTGCGATACAGTTTTACATCCCGAACCATAATTAGCAAACATGGTCTCTATTGATCCTAAGGTTAAAGTCTACTGAATTATTTACCCAGTTGGATCCTCATTAAGATGTGCTGAGCGTTCGACCGGGATCATGTCATCTCTGTAAGAAAAACCGCAGTGTTTGGATTAACTGGCTTCCTTCTTCATATGTTTATCCCTCTGCGACTTTCTAAACAAAGAACAGTGTATACAAGTCCACTACATAACAGTTCTTCAGTCTGATGCCAAAGACCAATGCGAAGAGAAATAAAAACAAGTTACTACACATCATAAGTTAAATGGATAATTAAAGATACATTTCTATTGTTTGGTAACAGTTTTCTAAACTGGCATCATTTAAACAGTCTGTGATTCAAACCTGGAGTCAGACGAGACGGTCAGTGTGTGAAGTGTATATGTGTAGCTACGTGATGTTGACCACTGGCTTCTGCACATCAGCATTTTGGCTACCGTGAGCTTTTTTGTTTGTTTGTTTGTTGGTTTTGAAGCCAAAAGTGATCGCAGTTACATCAGATGGTGGAGTGATAATTCTAGTAAGCATAGTGAGCACGCTGTATTTGTCAAATGTACAAGTGCAAAGCAATGTCCAGTGAAAGGAACTCTAATGCTTTATAATTTTGGATAATTTCATGCTCCCAACTTTATTGAAACAGTTTGGGGACCCTTCCTCTTCCAACTGCACACCAGTGCACAAAGCAAGGTCCATAAAGACATGGGCGAGTTTGGTGTGGAAGAAGTTGACTCGCCTGCACAGAGTCCTGACCTCAACCCGATAAAACACCTATTAGAGCAGAGACTGTGAGCCAGGCTTCTTTGTCCAATATCCCTGTCTGATCTCACAAATGCGCTTCTGGAAGAATGGTCAAAAATTCCCATAAACACTCCTAAACGTTCCTAAAGCCTTCCCAGAAGAATTGAAGCTGTTATATCTGCAAAGGGTGGGGCGACATCACATTAAATCTTACGGATAAGTAAACTTTTATCCACTGTCTACACCTTGGCTGAAGCAGTAACCAAGAATGTGATTGGCCAGCTACCAATCACCAATCACAGCTACCAAAAAAAACAATTGAAACGCAGTCTTGGAAGCGGCCTGTAAGCAGCTAAACTAAGCATGCACCAATTGCAATTTCACTGGCCAATTAAAGACCAGCTGATATTGTTTTTTGAAGATCCTGATTTTCTTTTTAAGAACTTACACTAACTGGCAGCATCGAGTAAAAAACCTCAACTTCTCTTCTATGCTAAATATTACGGTCATAATAAAAA